TTTGGTTTGGGAACTACAGCTCCACAGCGTGGCCCTGGGGTTTGGTCTTATGCTTGGCTTTTCGTTTGTTCCCTCAGGGGACGCAGTGCAGCCCCACCCCACCGTGACAGGCCCCACATGCCCCTCTCCCCAGGGCCGAAGCTGAGGTCCTCACTAAAACCCTCTTGATAAAACACAGGGGCAGAAGCCAGAGTAGGGAGCGTGGACCAGTGACCTAGACGTGAAGGCACGGAGAGGACCGTGGGGAAATTGGGCAGTAGCGGGAAGGAGAGCCCGGGGGGCAGGAGGCTTCCTTCGTCAGTTGGAGCAGGTTGAGCAAGTGGAAAGGCCGATGGGCCTGATCCAGGGCTGGGGAGAGGGGCTGCACAGGAGCAGTGGCCAAGTCTGTGTAGGAGCCCTTCCCCCAGCAGGATGGAGGGTCACTCTCAGAAGGGGTGGCCCCAGAAGGAATGGGGACTCGGGGATCCCAGGCCCTGATGAGGGGGTTTGAGGAATGGGGGGGATGTGGTATTCTGGAAACAGAGCCCCCCATCCTTTCCCAAATTGTCTCCCAAAATGGCAGCCAAGTGTGTGTGTGTGTGTCTCTCTCTCTCTCTCTCTCTCTCTCTCTCACACACACGCACACACACACACACACACACACAATAGGGGGGCCTCCCACGGGCATTTGCAGGCCCCCCAATAGCCTAATAGTGAGGCTCACACTCACTGCAGGAAACCCCTTCTCAAGGCAAACTTTGGACCAAGTGTCACCGGCATGTGCAGAGGGAAGGAGGGACAAACGGAGCGTCCGGGATGCTGAGCTGGCCATCTGCACGGCCCCAGCCCACAAGGTGCGCCCAGAGTCTTCCCAGAGGGAGGAGGGGCAGAAATCCCCATGTGTCTGGCGTCCTGCAATTGCCACCCCAAACCCACTCCTCCCCTATGGACAAACTGCCCTGCCAGCTGAGCTGTGGCAGCGTGGGGACACCTGGTGACTTTTGCTGGGCCGGTCCTCCCAGGCCCAGCTGCCTCGTATGTATTTACTTGTATTACGTCATGGATGCCAAACAATGCTGATCGGTATATCATTCCCCATTTTACAGATGAGGAAACCGAGGCCTGAGGATGCAGAGTAAAATGTCCAAAGCCACGTTCGCCTCAAGCAGCTGTGGCTGCAGGGCCCAGGCTTAAAATCATGCCTTCCTGCCCTCAGCTACATCCAGCTGAGGCAGTGGCGTCTGGATTCTTGCACAGCCCTTGCCAGGGCCACAAGGCCCCTTTGCTCTACCTCTAAGTGACAAGTTATCATGTTAAGGTCCCTTAACTCTGTCCCTAACAGACAAGTTATAATGTTGACCGGCTGGCCAGCCTCAACCTGAGCTGGGGACAGCAGCAGTCTGGGGGCAATTCTATTTTTAGATAAGACAGGACTTTGAAGACAGTAAAACGAAACAAAACAAAAGCAAAACCCAGCTTGCAAATAAACTGTCCTTGGGCTAGGGCCAGCCTAGCTCCCAAGCAGCCAGAAGCTTTGAGTGGTGCCTCCTGGTGGCGGTTTCTGGGAACTGCACCTCCAGGGCCTGTATCCCCAGGGCTCAATTTTCAGACAAGGACAGAGAATGCATCCCTTTTTCTCACAAAAACTTTTGATTGTGCCCCTTTGCTGCTGGGGGGGGGGGGTGCAGACAGGGAAGCGCAGGGCAAGGTCTCTCTGTCTTGCAGGGTCCCGGTCACTGAGGGTCGACAGAAGGCCACTTCTGAGGTCGTGGACCCAAGTGATCTTGGAGACTGAACAAAGAGCAGAGAAGTGCACACTCCCCACCTCCAGCCCCCAGGAGAGTCTGGGCGCTCACCGCTGCCAGACCCAGTGCAGGGCTCACTCGGGTGGCACACGAAGCAGCGGGGACAGCTTTCCCGTTAGCGGCCCCGCCAGCTGCTGGAACTCTATGACTTCCCTGTCCTCCTGGTGCGCCTTGTACACGGTTCTTTGGACACGCGGACCGCTAGAGCAGCTTCGAGCTGTTTTGTGTTTTGAATAGACGGCACACACAAATCACCTGAGAGAAAAGGAAGAAGGTGTGGGGGGAAGTCTTCAAGGTGTGGGGAGAGACACAGGGAGAGAGAGACAGAACACGAGCAGGAGAGGGGCAGAGGGAGAGGGAGACACAGAATCTGAAGCAGGCTCCAGGCTCCCAGCTCTCAGCACAGAGCCAGACGCGGGCCTTGAACTTACCAACCGCGAGACCATGACCTGAGCTGAAGTGGGACACTTAACCGACTGAGCCACCCAGGCGCCCCGGGGACATCTGTACTTTTAACCTGCCCTCCTCGTCCTGGTCCAGGAACTCTGCAGAGCATGTACTAGGGGCAATCACCAGGCTGGAACTAGGTCCACTGGCCACAGGGAACAGCAGATCGCTGGTCTGGGCAGAGGGGCAAGGAGCAGCTGGGACCAGCCCCTCAGGAGCACTGTCACCGTTTGGTTGTTTACTGCAGCACCCAAAAGCCACTGAAAACTTAGTGGCCTCCAAAGAACCGCTTTATTATCTTGTGTGGTTCCGTGGGTTACTGGGCTCAGCTGGGCAGGTCTGGTGTCTGCTTGGGGTCTCCTTGTAGCCACAGGCAGGTGGCGCTGGGCTCTGAATCTGGGACGGCCGGGCCTCGCTCCTCCCCGCGGTCCCCTCTTCCGGTGACTTCTCCAAGGGGCGCCTCCACGTGGCCCCTCCAGCTGACCTTCTCGAGGGGTGGCTCAGCGCTCCCAAGAGAGCAGAAGCAGGGGCTGCGGGCCTTCGGAGGGCGCAGAGCGGGGCTGGCGCCGATGGCCTCTGCCGTCTGAGGTTTCAGGGAGGCCCAGCCCGGCCCTGATTTGAAGGGCAGGCTGTGGGGAGGTGGTTCTCTGGGGACCATCTGTGTGCACTTGCTGCCAGGTCTGGGTGTTAGAATTTGTGCTAAGAACATCTGAAATACGCAGATGTTTGGACTCCCTCCTTGAACCTACACGGCGGTGCATCTGTGCTTAGCAATCTGGCTGCCGGCCTCTCCCCTGCTAAGCCAGCTGTACGAGGTCATCTTACTCCAGAGGCGAGCAGGAGCAGGTAGGCAGGTGGAAAGACCTGGGGGTTGGGACGTGTGGATGGCCGGCCTGCTCTGCCCGAGGCCCTGTGACCTCCCTTGGTTCCTCTTTCCTCTTCGGGCCTCAGTCTCCAGATCTGTAGCACTGGCACACGGTGAGCCGCACTGGGGGTTCTCTGCATCCCCCTCCTCCGTGGCTTCTCTGAGCTCTGGGCAGGGGACAGAAGGCCAGCACCGCCCACCCAGAGCTCCCATTCTCCCTCTGTAAATGTCAGGTGGCACCTGCCAGCTGTTACTGTATAAAAATCGTGACTCTGAGGAGCGTGTGCAAGGAAGAGGGCAGTGCCCTTCCCGCTGCCTGTGTGTGGCCAGCCCGGAGCACTGGCCTGGAGCCCGTCAGACCCGCCCCCAGTAGCAGCTGCGACTGTGGACAGTGTGACTTTGAATCTCAGTTTTGTCACCTGCAAAGTGGGGTGTAAAACGGTGCAGTCACGGTGGAAAACGTCCGGTTTTTCCTCAAAAAGTTAAACGTAGAGTTACCCTCTGGCCCAGAAATTCCACCCCTAGGTGTATACACCCCAGAAAACTGAAAACGTGCGTCCAGACGCACCCTTGGGCACAAATGTTCACAGCAGCATTATTCGCAACAGCAAAAGGTGATAACGACCCAAAGGCCCATCGGCAGCTGGACGGATAAACAAACTGAGGGGTGATGGTACAATGGAACATTATTCAGCCACAGAAGGGAGGGAAGTCCCAACACACACGACAATGACGATCGGCCTTGAAAACACGCTCAGCGAGAGAAGCCAGACACAACGGGCCACACATTGTGTGATTCCATTCGTGTGAAGTGTCCAGAATAGACACATCCGCAGAGTCGGAGTGTAGCTTCGTGGTGCCAGGGGCTGGGGCAAGGAAGATGGGGTGTTACTGCTAGGGAGTACGCGGGTGACAGAAATGTCTTCAGATCAGACAGTGGTGATGGTTGCACGACCTTGTGAATATACTAAAACCCACAGTTGCCCGCTTTCGAATGGTGAATTTGATGGCATATGAGTTATATCTCAATATCCAAAGGTGGGGTGATCAGTCCTCGTTCAGATTACGGAGACACTGCCCGAAGCACCTGCATATGGTAAGGGCTCGGTGGGGGGCCCACACCATGCGTCTATTACACACACACATACTGACTCTGGCTCATCTGTCCTTTTCTACCTGGGGCCTACGGAGCACCCCAATTCCAGGAGCCAGGAGAAACTTCAAGGGCAGAGCTTCGGCTCAGGGCTGCCTTCCTCTGGCACCCAAACCAGAGGCTCAAGGCCCTGGGAAGAAAAGTGACCACCCCAGCTCCCCAGGACTCTCCTGGTTTGCCAGCCCAGGTTCATCAGCAACTGTGCCCGGCTCACTCTCAAAGTATGCTTCCCCAGGACGGCCCCCTCTTACAGGAGGGCCCAGGTCGAGACAGAGACATCTTCCCGGGACTATAGTCTGTCCGTTTTTCCATCCACCGCTGGTAGTGTCCCGATCTACATCCTGTAGCAAGAGCAGACGTAAAAAGGGCGAGCTCCAGAGGTGTCCAGCTCTGAGGTCTTGGAAGAAGTTGCCACCAGCCTGGGGGGGGAGGGGGGATGATTTCTTCCGGAGTCCAGAAAAGGGTCCACACGAGCCAAGCTTCAGGGTGAGGAAGGGAACCAGCTTCTCCAGGAGCCAGACAGATCCACAACACGCCAAGGGCCGGGGGCCGGGGGCCGGGGGCTCGGCCCTCCAAGGGGGCACGGGGATGGCCACGTGGCTTGCTTGGGTCTAACGAGGGAAAAGAAAGATGGTAGGACGAGGGGGATGCTAGCCCGAGGAAGGGACACTTCAGGGAAGGGCCCTGGGCGGTGAAGGGCCCCTCCTGATCTCGGGGCCTCATGGCTGTCTTGCAACCCCCCCGGCCCCAGGGCTGAAGCTGAGCGCCGACCAGCTGGCCCTGGTCTACAGCACACTGGGGCTCTGCCTCTGTGCCATCATCTGCTGCTTCCTCCTGGCCGTGGCCTGCTTCCTCAAGAGGAGAGGGGACCAGTTCTGCCAGCCCTCACCGGCACCGTGTCAGACCCAGGCCAAGTCCTCCAAGGGTGAGTGTGACACGGGCACTTGCACCGCATGTGGGGCCAGCTGCGGGAGGTCCCTCTGTCCCCGCACTGGCCCCGCTTCCGAATGGGAAGCATCTTTTGGGTCTTGGTGAAATCAGGTTCCACATGAAGACCACAGATGGGGCACCCGAGGAAGGGTGGGGGTCCGGCGATGGCCATCGGGTTGGCAGGTGCACTCCCAGAGGGGTTCCTACACAGCCTTCCCCAAGCAGAAGGGGAGCTGGTGCCGGGAGAGGGGGGCTGCCTGTGTGGCGGGGACGGGAGAACCCGACCGCCCCGCCGCGTGTCCCCTCCATGCAGGGCGGTAGAGAAGGGGTCAGGGCCAAGGCCAACGCCATCGCCCTCTCACCTTCCGTCAGATCACTGGATGGAAGCTGGAAGCGCGGAGGGCGCGTTGCCAGAGCCGGTGGAGACGTGCAGCTTCTGCTTCCCGGAGCGCAGGCAGCCCACCCAGGAGAGCGCGGGCGGGCCCGGGACCCCCGGCGCCGCGCGCTCTGGGAGGTGGGGGCGCCTCGGCCGGACCACGATCGGACAGCCGTGCGCGCGCGCCCCGGAAGGCGGCCTTGAGGTCCTGTGCGCTCCTGCGGAGGAGGGAGGCCCGACCTCGTGAAATGGGGGCAGGGTGAGACCGGGAGAGAGATGGGG